GAAAATTTCAACGCGGCGAATAGGGCCGTGGTAGCATAATGGTCAGTGCATTCGCCCGGATTGCGAAGGATGCGGGTTCGAGTCCCGTCCGCTGCCTGGTCCGCGTGGATTTTTTTTTCTAGTAAACTTTTCTTTAGATTTAAACATCTAGCAGTTAAATGCTTAAAAATAAATAAAAAAACATAAAAAATCATCGAATTTTAAATATCATTCACAATTCACAATCACATATTTAACATTTAAGTAAGCATGTAACTACATACTAGGTGCTTAACAGCTTTAAACGCTTATGGGCGATCACAAACTCCTCCCCTCCAGTCTACCTCAACCACAGATTAGATATCTCATTACATGGGATCAAAGGAGCCGTAGCTGTAGGCTCTAACCAAAGAGGAGCGATAATAATGAGCCTTTGAACATTATTTCGATGTCATTAAAAGTTGCGGCCGACAAAACCAAATTACTATTTTCACAACTTTGACAGGTACAGTCAAAATTTAAGCCTAACACGCAATTAGCGTTGTACTGTTGATGTAATATACTTTAACTAGCAAACCAGTGAACCAAATGTTCACCAAAATCTGATTTAAATAAAAAAAAAATGTATTTAATTAATTGAGAACTTCGGAGATTTTGTGTGGTTTCGTTTGAAATTCGTGATTTCTCGAAAACCGGAAGTGCTACGTTACTCAAATCCGGTTTGTAGTCTTATCAGACTATTCTTAACTTATAACTTAAACATTCTATTTATCTATCTCTTACGGTTTGGCCGCTGAAACAGCACCACAGACGGACGGACGGACTTGTCTAATAGATAAGAGACATGGCGGAAAAATCGTTTGTGGAAAATATTATTCTGTTTTTTTCCACTGGACATAATAAATATAACATAGACACGAAGAAATCGTATAATATGTAATTTAACATTTAACCTGTCTTTGTAAAAAGTAATATTGAAATATTTAAGGCCAGAACTCGTGAACGCCTTATTGGAAAACTTTGTGTAATCTTTATATATATAATTCTTCTGTGAGTGTGTATGTCACTGAACTTCTCTTAAACGACTGGACCGATTTTGATGAATTTTTTTGTGTGTGTTCAAGGGGATCTGAGAATGGTTTAGATTCACAATTTTGTCCGCTGGACAATGTTTTTTTAATTAATTTTTAATTTATTAGTAGTTGTTGATTTTGGTATGTTTTACATTGGATCCGACAGACGGCGCTACCATACTAGACAGGACAACGTCTGTCGGGTCCGCTAGTCCCCTATAATACGGCAGTATTTATGAAAAGTGTGTTTTGCAATGCTCCGTATATTGATAGTAAATTATCTGAGTGTGTGCGAGAATTTACCGTTAACAATACATTTAAAAACAAAATACAAAATTTTTAGTAGTCAAATGTTACTATACGATCCGTGAATTTTTGGAAGACAAAAGCTTTTAGACTAAGTGTAGAAAAAATTACATGCATGAAATAAATAGAATCTTAAATCTCTATATATATAAAACTCAAAGGTTGGACTGACTGACTGACATAGTGATCTATCAACGCACAGCCCAAACCACTGGACGGATCGGGCTGAAATTTGGCATGCAGGTAGATGTTATGACGTAGGCATCCGCTAAGAAAGGATTTTGATCAATTCTACCCCCAAGGCGATAAAATAGGGAATGAAAGTTAGTATGAAACTATGTCAATTTTAAACCGATCGGGCTGAGACTTTGCATGCAGGTTATAAGGAGAATCATAGATGAATGTCATTGTGTATAATACAAGTCTGAGAACAAAAACTGTAGTCTACACTTCAGCTCTACACCGAAGCGAAGCGAGGGCGGGCCACTAGTTTATTGGCATTTTGAATAAACTATGTAAATTAATTTGACATTGAAACAATTAACGATTTGCAGAAATATAATATTGCATGCCGATAAGACTGTACTGTACAAATATGTATCTAGATGACAACTTTGTTTCCTGTATTCGCAATAAAGATTATATGATATGAACAATAGTATATCAGGCAAACAATCTTCAATAAGGCGTTTATGAAGACTACATGAAAAAAACAGATATTAAAAACATTATGCCTCTTTCACATCACACTCACCTCTGTTTTGCACCATAATCATAATCATAATCAAAATCATTTATTCAGTTTAGGCTGTTACAAGCACATATGAATGTCTAGAAGCTACGCCATCGGTTCGTAAATCTACGGCGGGAGACCTTGTACTGAGAAGAACCGGCAAGAAACTCAGCAAGGGCTGTTCTCTCTCTGTTTTATTATTTACAGAGTCGTCAAGTTGAAAAATGACTTCAGAGATGATTCATGACCTTTCATTACATAATGTGAAAATATACATTAATTGTTCACCTGCATTTTGATTGCTGTGTCACACAGTATAAATACATACACTATCATCTATCTATCTAATCTTTATATATATAATTCTTCTGTGAGTGTGTATGTCACTGAACTTCTCTTAAACGACTGGACCGATTTTGATGAAATTTTTTGTGTGTGTTCAAGGAGATCTGAGAATGGTTTAGATTCACAATTTTGTCCGCTGGACAACCCCTATTTTTTTTATAGCGGTACGAAGTTCGCTGGGACAGCTAGTCATACTGTATTATCCAATATAAAGGGCATCAAAGTATAATAAATCGATTTGAGCAAGCATTCATTATCCTAATAACACAAAACTAGCAAACCAGTGAATCAAATGTTCACCAAAAAAAAATGTATTTAATTAATTGAGGACTTCGGAGATTTTGTGTGGTTTCGTTTGAAATAGAAATCACGTGATTTCTCGAAAACCGGAAGTAGTCTTAACAGACTATTCTTAACTTATAACTTAAACATTCTCTATATCTATCTCTTACGGTTTGGCCGCTGAAACAGCACCACAGACGGACGGACGGACTTGTCTAATAGATAAGAGATGATACATTAAGACAGAAGTTAATTAAAAGATTAATTGCTTACTACCACTGACCGAGTACGATGTACAGAAAAGAATGTTTTGAAACACAAAAATTCTATACAAACCAAAAAGTTGATGCTATGTTGCACTGGAAGGCTTTAACAAAAAAAAAAAAGAAAAAAAAAAACAGATTCAATAAGTATGTATCTCAAAAATAGTTTTTACCCCCAAAACAAAGCGAAAACATAACTGAATCACAATCACCCCGATATCAAAGCGGCACGAAATCAAAAATACACCAGAAATCAAAAGAGTTTGCTCCATCGCTAACTACGCGTGAAATCCCATTGCTGGCATCAAAGAGAATGCAAAGCCGCCGAGTGTACAAACAAAAAGTGACCCTGATTCACAATTGGATACGAAACAAAATGCGCTAGCACATACTATTGCCGGGAGCGGCGTAAGAAGTGGCCCAGTGTCATGTATGGGAGCGTCGCGCGGCAGAAGCGCCTAGTGTTAATTATAAAACAATTTGCTGCAAACAGAGAGGGTTAGCGTTATGTAAAGGGATTACCGAATGATGGTTGCCGCCGCAGGTTGTCGGTGATTATGTCACGGAAAGGTCTTAATGCACTTTGGCCAGTGGCTGAGGGTTGTGACGGCATAGCCGCAACCGTTAACTCGTTTGTTTATTTCTTCCTGATTCGACCTTTTTGGCCACCACTTATTTTAAAATGTTTGTCCCCGGATTCCGCTTTCTCACTCTGGTATACTCTTACTTAAATTGTTGATCTGCTCAGAGAAAATTATTTCTTCCTGATTCGGCCTTTTTGGCCACCACTAATTTTAAAATGTTTGTCCGGGGATTCTGCTCTCGCTCTAGTACCTATATTCTTACTTAAATTGTTGATCTGCCCAGAGAAAATTATTTCTTCCTGATTCGGCCTTTTTGGTCACCACTAATTTTAAAATGTTTGTCCGGGGATGCTGCTCTCGCTCTAGTACCTATATTCTTACTTAAATTGTTGATATGCCCAGAGAAAACCAAAATCTACAATCATATTGTATTTAATCTTAATCTTTTACAGAATTTTTTCCTGCCTTTGATCGCAATCAGAATTTGTTCCAAAATCTTAGTATTTGATATGCAGTAAGGCTCAGAATCGTTTGGACAAGCAAACACAATATCGCCCTACAATAATAGTATTATTCTGTGACTGCGCCTGCTTCCATAGATTGAAAAAAGGCAGTAATTTGTCGTTTCTTTGTCCTCTCGCCGTTTGATATTGATGAGCGATTGTTTCACATAAAATCTTTTGATGATAAACGAGCGAATTGTCATTATTGTTTCACATTACGCTATATTGAATAATGTTTTAAATGGCTGTTCTGCTATTATACTCTTGTTATGGGTGCTTCTTCTTTTAAGAGATTTTTCTGCTTTTTCAACACATGATAGATACTAATAATATAATCCTAGTGAGTCTAAGTAAAATAAATATAGCTGCTTATGTAATTTTCACAAAGATAGGTGATCAATGTGGGGAGGTCGATGGCGCAAGTGGTTATTCCGCTGCGATCGTTGAAGTTCAGCAACTTTCGCACAAAGTTGTTACAAAGTGGCACAGGCCTTCCCTATGGATGGAATAGGGAGATAGGGCCATGACCCACCACGCGGGCCCAATGCGGATTGGCGGGTGTTACCGACTGCAGATGCAGCCGGGATCAACGGCTTAACGTGCCTTCCGAAGCACAGAGGAACTCGAGATAGATGTTTTTGGTCACCCAGCGAAAGATTCTTAACTTCAACCATCGCAGCCGAATGCGCAATCCACCTGCGCCATCGAGCTCCTCGACTCGATTTTGACTTTTTACATCTTCTCAAAGCCCTTCGAATTCCGCGTCTTTTGAGCGCTCATACGTCCTGCTGGCCCTATGCCTCGGGGTATCACGGGCGAGTCGCGAGGCAGGTTTCAGCGAAAATGGGGGCTTACAGGAGCGAACAAAAAGCGAAAAATCATTTTCAATGTTAAAATGTAACATTAATTGAATAATTCTCATTTGTTCCCAGGCTATGGCACGAATTCATTATCGGCGATGTCAAAGTCGACACTCGACGCACACACGCATCTGCGTCAGCCAGGTAAGATTTACACATATACGAACCTACATACAGATATCAAGCCACTCCGCCCTCCTTTAAGAAGAACTGTTTTAGGCGCTAACTCGCCTATTTTAGTCATAAAATTGATTTACACTTTGATAATCCCAGTGCAATAACTTCAGCCATTAGTAGCAACTTGACGGACTGAGTGCCTGAGAAGTTTATTTTTAATTTTAGATCCTTTGTTTTTGTAATGACCCTTTTTTGGACAAAATAACATATAAGTTAAGGTATATTAGGTAAAATTTTAACACAAACTGTTTGATATAGATATGGTGAATGTGTTGTTTACCTATAATTAATTGTAACATTGATATAAGTGTCACCGTGTCTATAATTGTAATTGCTTAAGTGTTACAATTGTTGGTAAGCCTTTTAATAAATAAATGGATAAATAAATGTAACTAGCAACATAACATCCTAGCCTAAATCCTTGCCATGCTCCAAAACAAGCATCTTGGGTAGACACGGCCATCTAATAAACCTACCTCATTATATACTTTTTCTCAAACATGCTAGGAAATTTTTTGCATAATTTTGACAACTTTTTTCGAGATAAATCGAAATTTCAGTAGATACTGACCGAATACACACGAGTTGTATGAAAATATCTGTCGTCTTTCGCGGTACATAGTAAACTCATATTTGTCGTGTAATTTAGAAATGTTATTTTACTCCGACGCATGGCAACAATTAGTTCGTCCATCAATGCCTCTTTTGCGGGCTGCTACAGTAATGTACTATGAGTTTTGAAGCGGCAAAACATTGAAGGTTGGGTAAATTATCCCTTTGAATACATCGGTCTTTGCTATAGAATTCTGAGCAAAACTCACTACTTAATCTGTATTTCCATATAAGCAAGTCATTAAAATATCATTAAAATCAATTTGTTAGATGGTGTCATACAAAAACGGAAAACGTATACCAATAAAATAAATAAATAAATATTTCCAACACTCACACCAGTTAGCCTAGCCCCAAAGTAAGCACTGGAAGGCTTGTGTTATGGGATGCTAGGGTAACGGATAGAATACATATACTGTATATATAAGTATATTTATATAGAAAAACATATTAAACATCCATGACTGGAGTACAAATGCTCGTATTCATCACACAAACATCTGCCCCCACCGGGACTCAAACCCGGGACCTCTCGAGTCGGCGACACCATGAAACCCGCCGTGCAAACCACTCGGCCATGGAGGTCGTCAAATTATTATATTATAGTAACCAATGTTACTATAAAAATCGTCCAAAGACGCAATAAAAAAATCTTTATCGGCGTTCAAGCATAAAACTGTGTCGACAGTCATCTAACGAACTGGATCCATCGGCCATAACATAGGTCTCCTGACCAAAACTTATCTATTTCTAATTTAAATACATATCAATAAGTCAAAACAAGTCGGTTAAAATGATTTTGCTTGGCCGTACCATAAAAAAGTGTGTGTGCACGACAGAAGCGGCACAGTAGCGGGGTGACGCGGCCAGAGAAATATTATTTATACTGTTTTTATTTATTTTTAACCATTTAACTGCTAGATGTTTTAAATCTAAAGAAAAGTTTACTAGAAAAAAATCCACGCGGACCAGGCCGCGGACGGGACTCGAACCCTCACCCTTCACAATCCGGGCGAATGCACTGACCATTATGCTACCACGGCCCTATTCGCCGCGTCGAAATTTTCCTATCCTTAAGCTGCAAGGCAGCGCCATCTCTTCGCATTGTAGGGATTTTTTTCTAGTAAACTTTTCTTTAGATTCAAAACATCTAGCAGTTAAATGCTTAAAAATAAATAAAAACATAACTAGGTATAATTGCTATTTCTTCTTTCAAATGTTCAATACTTGAAAAAGTATTCATTTGACATTGTGGGTTACCTACAATGCGAAGAGATGGCGCTGACGATCTTGACATACACTGTCGATCCATCGTTTCGATTGGTCTGAAACGACGGATCGTTCAGATCAATCGTTCCATATATGGGCCCATGTTAAGTAGGAAAAAAAAATGACGGTTCCAAAGAGTACTGTACAACCAATACAAATAAATATATTCCGACTTCGAATAATAGACTAAACCTTCTAGAAACTATATTGGCGTTGAAGCATGAAACCCTTCCGTATTCCAAGAGAGACGAGCATCTTGGCCACTCATCTAACGAACTGGATCCATCGGCCATTACAGAGGGCTCCTGAGCAAACACACCGGTGTTTGCCCTCCACGGTCAGTTACACATGAACCGTGCCATTCTGCTAGCCATATTCGCGACCCTCTCGTGTTGTCAGATTTATGCGTTCGACCTCAAGCGGGAATATAGAAACATATTTTTTCCCCATTCATATATTATGGTTTAAACAAGAATGAAAAACAATTGATAGATATATAGATAATGCGTTTATTTTTTTCTTCAAAATAAAAATTCTAAATTCAATAACGTTTATTCAGTCTAGGCTGTTACAAGCACTTGTGAATGTCGCGCAACGCTATCGGTTCGCAAATCTACGGCGGGAGACCTTGTACTGAAAAGAACCGGCAAGAAACTCAGCAAGGGCTGTTTTTTTCTCCCTGCATTATATACAGAGTCGTCAATTTGAAAAATGACTTCAATATGAGATAACTCATGAAGTCACTTTCCATTACAAATGTAAATGATAAAACAATTATGACTATAAAATAAAAAATTTAAAAAACAGATTTAAAAAAAAATAAGTTTAGGAATGCCGCGTCCTACTGTTTAGGCATACATACATATACATTTACAGACAGAGTAATACAATAAAAAAATAAGATACAAGAAATCAGCTATGAAATATCCATATGTATGCTGCAGAAAGCAAAAGGACAAGGCTCGGCTAAACATTTGCCAGTTTTAAGGCCAAAGACCGATTTTCAGCCATCACCTTTCTAAACTTCTTTTCCAAATATGGTTTCCTATTGATGATAAATGGTAAATTGCGAGCAATTTACTATAATAATTATAAATAGTCTGTACCTACCAATTCACTATTCAGACGTATATAACTTAGATTAAGTGCACAAACATGACAAAAATGTGTAATTTGTAAGTAATAATAATATGGCATAATATTGTTGGATATTAATATCACACCTTTAATCAAAACGTAAAATATTACGATTAATTTGTAGATTAACCTTTATTTTATACGTTTCACGTGAAAGCAGGAAAATTTACCAGCTCCGTAATCGTATTACACCGTCAATGTTTCTTTGAAACGTTAACAGCGCCCCTATCGGACGTAAGAACAAACTAGCTTCTTCTTCTTGTAACGTTGACGATGCTATTACGGACTGTCAAAATTCGTGCTTCGGCCTCTGAGTAATCAGCTGATACAGGAATTAGTTTGTCCATCAATGATACTTCGTCGCTGCCAATTCCCTCTCGCATCGTGTTGTGTGCACAAGTAGCCTCATTTTTCCCTCGGCTCGAGTTAACGAAGAGTTTTTCATTAAGTACTGCGATTCACTAGAGCACGCCTTACGTGACTGTTTTGTCTGATCAATTCAAAACTTATCTCATGAGACAACTACCTACCTACACAAGGACTTGATCAGATGGCGATCAAGCCCTGAACGACCCACGTGGTTAAAGAAGTTACCTATCCACACAGTATGGTTTATTAAAGTATTTAAGTAAACGCCTTTTCCATGATACCAATGAATGGATTCATCGTCATACATAACTATGGACAGAATGACCCAGCAAAAAATATCGAAAAATGTTCGGGACTCCTTTTACGATTAAGTTTTCATTATTGTTTTCACAAACATAATCAAATGTCAATAAATATTGATTTATTGTCAGAAATTCACTCAAAATATAAACGTCTACATAAACCGTCTTCTTTAATTTAATTTGTTTAGAAACCACAGCAATAAAAGCCCTCACCGTTATAACAACTTTTTTATTATGAAAAACTTAATTAGATGACTTTTTGTAAGTTTAATTTTTAACGTGGTTTTGGTGTCGATTCTGTCATGATTCTCTAAATTTAAAACTAAATTTAACATCAGTCTCGCCTTAACATTCCGTATAAATTTAACATCAGTCTCGCCTTCGATCAAGAATGAAAAGAATACACTGTTGTCAAATTTATCGATTCGACACCAATGGCTTTACTGATAAAATATCTTGCTTTCGTTATTTAATCATTTTGTCTCTGTTTATTTGATTTTGTTTCTGCTAATTTGATTCAATAACACATTATGTTACTTGAATCAAACAAATACACCGTCACCATTCCTAGCTTATTCTATCTACTTGTCATTTACCCTATAATATTGGTGCCAATTCTGGCGTGATTTTCTAAACTTATTACTAAATTTAACATCAGTCTCTCCTTTTCATTCTTTATAGAGAATTAAAATTTAATTTCTGCTGTCAAATTTAAGTTTAGGTTTAGGGAATCTTGCTAGATTGGCACCATTCTCTGATCAACTAAACATTACAGCTTCTTTACAAATTCAAATATTACCCTTTCATATTTACCTACATAAACTTAGGCATAACGAGCTAAGTCGTTTGTTCTGAGCAAACTGAGCGTTGAAACTAATATACACACTTTATCGAGGCTTTAAATTTCAAAGTAGATTCTACACCAGCCCGGCGTTCGCCTGCGGCCTGGGGCCAATCGTCCTCGTATTCTCAAAGGATTTTAAGCAAGACTGAGTTCCATTTCGCGCTTTTAATAAACACGTCACCACAAATGAAAAGTTAGGGCTGCACTGCATCGCCGCATTAGTATTTTATCCGGAAACATTGGCCATTGAAGTTTTATACAAAGCTTTTTGGATTTAAATTATATAAAAGCTTTATACTGCCATATGTCTGAATGAAACAAAATCAGAGACATTCTGTGACATGCTGACTCACTTTCAATAGTTTATATCTGTTACTGGCTGCTTCAACATCGTTTTTATCAACAAAAAACTCAAACTGCTAATCGGATTTTCC